ACTGACCTATTAATATGAAGACTAAAAAGATATCTCTGATAATAAACTTCTTTTTCTTTTTTTTTTTTTTTTGGATAAAGAAAATTAAAACTATTGTATACGATCTTCGATTTGTATTGCTTTGCGTTACAAATCTTTGAAAAAGGTAATTCTAGAATCATGCTCCTATAATGGGTATAAATATATAAACTATCTTCAAATACATATATAAATATTGTAAAATTTATGCTTACACTGATAGAGCTTAAAGAAATATTATCTTAGGGGAAATAATTATTTTTCACATAAAAATAATACATCAACACAATACATATGCGTAAATATAAATACATATATATATATATGTATGTATATGTATATGTATATATATATATATATATATATATGCATGTACTTATACATATATATATGAATATATAGATCTATGTATATATAAATATATATGCATGTATGTATATGATTTATATCTTTGGTATTTTGTAACAGAAAAGAAGCGAAAGATTTTAAAAAAATTGAAGAAAAAAAAAAGAAAAAGAAAACTATAAGTTATGAGAATAGTACACAATACAAGAAGTACAACGTAATCTTCACAGTTATAGTTCGTAAGATGCATCAAAAAAAAATTCATAATATATGTATATACATTATTCTTATTATCGGTTAATTTCAAAACTTTTTGTTCGAAAACACATTCATTTCTCCAAGCCTCTCCCCCCCGCCCCCCTTTTTCATTCGCTCTTTCGGAATTAATACACCCACGCATTTCTTTTTCTCTTTCTCCCCTTTATGCCTACTATTGTTGCCAGATGAATTCATTATACAATTGATACCTGTATTGTACTTGATCTTAGTTTTCACGGCTTTCGATACAAATATTTCCAAAATAGAATTAAAATTTCAAACGAAAACATTCGACATTAGAAAGTTATCATTATTTGGTTATTTTAGAGCCATAGAACCATAGAGAATCTTAGATGATATATAAGTGAACTTTTGATGCTTGTAATCGAAACTATTTACAACAGTCATTTTTCTGATATCCACCACCAAGAATGGACCATCAAGCCAAATTTCAAATCAATAGCGATTATAAGTCATTACATACCCATCCCCAAGCAATGAGGGATATAGTCGTTTTTAGAGATCCCATAAAATGTATATATATGTACACATATGTTTTCTTGATCAGCATTAAATTTTTAATTGATTCAAGCCCGTCCCCGTTTGGCCATCTGTCCGCCTGTGGAATCTCTGCCGTAAGCATACACTGGGCAACAAAAAATATGAAGCTATTACCTTCAAATCTGGCAAAAACATTAGAAATTCTTGCATACCTATTGGTATTGGCAATGAACCAAGTGACGAGGCCAAGGGGCGAGCCCACAATGCACTATGAACTAAGAAAATGTCTGCTTTCTGAATTTTTTGCTGATTGCTCATCGAAATTACAATAGGGAGTGGAGTGAGTGAAGCTTTTCACAATTTATTCCTCATAAATCGATGAAACCAACCAAACCCACCCAATACTATAAAGTTATCATCGTTCTCTTAAGATCTGTTACGAATAAATCAATGAATAAAAAAGAATAATGAAAAAACGAAGAAAAACAATTAAGAGAATTATATTCGTTCGCGACTCGAATGTTTTATACCCATTATCATCTTTACCCTGGAAAAATTTATAAAAAAAAAAAAAAAAAAAAAAAACAGAAACTACTGTAGCATAGCCAATAGGTATTATAAGATAGCCAATAGAACATGTGTGCAAACTTTTATAATTTTATTTCTTATAGATTATGAGTAATGAGCAAGAAATTCATGTTTTCTTTTCTTTTTTTTTTTGTAAGCAGCGATGTTGCTAGTTTATATACTAATGTAGGCGTGTCCTTGGACAAATTTGGCTTATTTTCAATATCAATCTGTCTTCAAGAACTTGCTAACAGCTTCACATTTACGACCAGAAAAATGCGTGCAAGAGACGGCGGACAGATGGACGGACAACCAAACAGACACACGCAAATGCTTTAATCGATTTTTGAATTTGATGCTGGTCAAGAATATATATACTTTGTGAGCTCTCTGACGCTTCCTTCTGGGCATCGCAAACATTGTAACAAAATGAATATACCCCTAATCCTTTGGTGATGGGTGTAAAAATATTCACCACAAAAGTTCTCAGTGAAAAATTTTATAGAAGTGCGGGAAAAAAAATAGAGATACATTTTTTGTTTTATCGAAAAGAAGTAAGTTACGTTCTTGGCACGAATCTTTGATATCTAACAACATAAGAAATCGTCGAGATGCAATGCAAACAAAAAGTAAAAAATATATTTGAAAAGAAAATATCAAGTTTACGGGAAATGAATTGAAATAAATTATACAAACTTCGGTGATATTATAGTCTGTCCATCCATCCAGTCTGTTCAGCAATCATGTGTCTATAGGCTAAACAACAAAGAGCAGAGTGACTGGCCACTAACAAATAATTTCTTAACTAAATAATCGTTTTACGGAAACAGCAGAAGGGCGTTAGAGTGAATGTCTACATTAAACCGAGTATGGCGAGACCAAATAATTAAGCTATTGAATGCAATTTTAAACACCAGAAGCTGTCCAATGTGGAATACCTACAGAGACTTTTGTTATTCATCCTTTTTACTTTGAGAATTGATGATGATAATGATACGACGAATGCGTCATTAGCGCTACGCTATTTAAATTACACCTGACATTTTAATTTCTAAGCATTATAAAAAGGCAAATGAAGGCAAATGAAAAATTGAGAGGAAACTCAATAGCTGTCGTCTATCGATTCATTGTAACGTGTAGTGAATTTTTACCTAGCGTTAGAGTATAGACTTTTCTTTTTCCGAAAACTTCCGATCATAAAATTTCCGTAAAGCATTGTTACACTCAATATTCTTCTTTTTCCAAATACTACGAAATCACTCTGGGCATATACCCTATACCTATAATAGGGTGACAGTTAGAAAGAAAAGAATTGCGCTCATAAACCAGTTACAGTACTCTCCCTATTCACAATTGCAGATGTTTCGGACACAACGGGCAAAGCGAGACCATTTTTATAATAAAATTTATAACGAATTTTCAAGGTCAGGGATTTTGTCCGCTTTTAATTATACCGTGAAAAATAGAAAAAGAAATTCTAAGCTTCCAGTCACGGCCAACGCATATCAATTGTAATTGACGCACGGTCTACCGCACTTAGCATTGAACTCGTCTGTCCCGATATGTTAGTGAACCTTAAGTGCTTGGCCATGCCAAAGTAGCCAATGAAATATTTTTTACCCTATCAAACAGCTGTCGAAACGCAAAGAAACTGATTCACCTGAATTGGAGCACAGTATTACCGGCGATGAAGAGTGCTTCGAAAAGAAACAAGGGTTAAAAAGAAAGGTGAATCACCGCAAACGACTGCAAAGTCAAGATTACGGTCGCGTAAGCTTATGCTTATATATGGCGTCCTACTGTTAGTAATCAACTAGATTGGAGCAAACGATTGAAAAGAAACCCGGCCACGTATCATCCATCAATACAAGAAGAATTGTCTTGTATTATGACAACCTCCCTGATATCCTGGCAAGAATGCATTTAATGTACACTATACCTCCACACCCCATCCCAATACCACTGTTCATTTCGCTCTTTGCTGAGCTCTCTTAATGGCATTACTTAGTGCAGAATCAGTCTTCGCTCAGAAATTGCAACGATTATTATATACTAGACACCTGTGCGATTAATACGAGTCCAAGTGATAATAAATTATTTTTAATTTCCCACTTTTGTACACAGGCACTACCGAAGATAGACTGGCTATATAAGAACTTTTCTCAATCATTTTACAAAAGGCATGTGTGCGCATCAAAGCTCCTATAGAATATTCTTCAGCGTAAGAAATCCCCTTAACTATCCATCCATCCATCTGTGGTTGTCTCCCGTTCAATATAACAAGCTGGCATTTGGCGTTCAGTCCTTAAATAGGATTCAAAACCGCCTAAGTCGCCTGGCTGATGGTGATTCTTTCCGAATTACAAATAGTTGGGTTCAAAAAAAAAAAAAAAAATTAAAGCTTGAAGCAAAAACAAATTAATAAAAAAAATTGATATCAGCGAACTGCACAAATATGCTCAATTAATGAGAACCTGTAAATTATAATTATCCACGTCCCGTCTTAATGGGAACATAATAATATTCCTATTGAGTCTATATTTTGTTTTTAAAAACGGAACGAAAGAAAAATATTAAAACATTGAGCATATCGGAGAACAAGCAAATAATACATCGAAAAAAAGTGATCAGAATGATCAGATGTGCTGTGAAAAAGGAAAAAAAAGGCGCAAATTTATAAATACAGAGCGGGAAGACGGGGGGTAAGGGGTTTCTCTTGTTCTTTTTTTTTTTTCTTTTTTAAATTAATTCGCATAAGCCACTCAAATTGTCTACTACTTTACTACTACTAATTATTATTTATTATACAAACAAGTATTAAATACATATTCTATTGTTGTTGGGGGATCGATTGTTCTTTGAATTGTCTCAAAATTTTGCTAAAATTTATTTTTAATTTTCTTCAATGGATAACATGGCCGATTTTTAGTTCTTTAGTTTTTTTTTTTTTTTTAACGTTTTCTAACCAACAAATACATATACAACTATAATGCATACAATTATAAAAACATATTACGTTCTTTTTTTTTTTTTCCTTTTTTGTTTGAATTAATTTCTTTTTTGTTTATATATATATATATATATATACATAAATATAGTATATTTATATATATATACATATATATATATATATTTATTTATTTATTTTTTTTTTTTTTTCGTTTATTAAATGTGAATAAGAGA